TGGGCACCTGTGCTCACCAGGCCAGCCCTTCGTTTGTCAATATGACCCAACAAGCAAGGATCGCCACATATTTGAGACAAACCGAAAATAAGAGAGAGAGAGAGATGAGCAGATAGAACTGGCCCCAGAGGAAACAGAGGTGATTCCTGAAACTGATGAGAACTTAAAAATATTTCAATTAATAATCTTGAGCCACTTTAAAGGGCTCTGCCTCCATAAACACACACATTGTTATAAAATAAGGATCAGGAAATGAAGAAGTATTCTTCCATTAAAAAAATCTCAAAATAAGACATTAAGTACACGGGCTGAAGGAGACAGCTGTAAGGACCAAGGAGTACACGTACCGTAAGCTGCTTCTTCTCTTGAAACTTCTGGGCCTTGAAGTTCTTGGTCCTCATGCCCTTCTCCGTGGGGTCTGAGGTGCCCGGGCTGTAGTCGGTCACTGGAAGGACAAAGAGTCATTAAAGAGCCGAGGACCAAAACAATGCTTCCCCGCCGCTCCCCTCCCGTAAAGAGCCCCTGTCCTGCCAAGCCCTCAAGAGGTCAGGAGGAGAAAAAGGCTTTTGTAGACATTTCTATCTGATTAAACCTGGCAGGGAGGACTCAGGGCGGCTCTCCTCAGTCCAGAACCAGGGGATGGCTGGGAAGGAGGGAAATAAAAGGGATTACAGTTTTCAGGCCCAAGGGGCACCCCTTCCCCCAGTTTATCTCCCAAGCCCTGCAAAAGACTTCAAAAGTGAGGCCTGAGGAATAGCCTGGCTGGGACGTGGAAGCGAGATGCAGGGCTGGGCTGGCAAATTTTAAGCAATTCTCTGCCGGCCTTGCCAATTCGGAGTGTTGTTTTTCGTCCACTGGTTTTTGTTTGTTTTCTTTTTTTCATTAGTGTTATTTTTTCTTCTGAGTTTTACTGAGATGTAACTGACACACAGCCCTGTGTGAGTTTCAGGTGCGCAGCATAGTGATCTGACTCACACACGTCATGATGTTTAGTGAACATCCATCATCTCACAGAGATAGAAAATGAAAGAAATAGAAGAAAATTATTTTCTTTGTGATGAGAACTCTCAGATTTACTGTTTTAAGATCCCTGGAGGGGTGCAACTCACCCAAGCTGGGCCGGCTGCCGAACAGCCCATTTCCGCCCTCGGTGACGCTGCTCAGAAAGTGGTCGCTGAAATTCACCGCCTTGTTTAGGTAAAGGTTCTGGCCAAGGGAAAAGTTCAAGCACCATGAATGAGGAGGCTGCCGCGCCCCAGCAGAAAGAACCATCTCCCTGCTAACCTGCCCCTCTTTTGTTCATGACAGCTCTGTCTACCCAGACAGCCAAGCCTGAAGCCCGGCCATCCTTCCGGACACCTCCCTCACCTCACCGCGATGTTCTGTCCATTTTGCCTTTTAAACCACTCCTCTGCCTGATCCCTCTTCTCACACCGAGATCCTGCAACAGCCTCCCAGGAGGTTCCTGCCAGCCCGCCTTCCATGTGACCATCCCAGCACCTCTATATGATGTGTAAGTAACTGTGTCCTTCCCCAGCTTAACACCCTTCCGTGTCTTGGAATTAGGGTGGCCTGCCGGAGAGGCTCAGGCTGCAGAGTTTGAATCCTGGTTCTGGCACTTACTAGCTTAGGGACCTTGGAAGAAGCAAGTTGTTTGACTTCTCTGAGTCTCATTTTCCTCATCTGTAATGTGGGAATATTATGACCTACTTCAAAGAGATGTTGTGAAAGTAAACCGAGGTCAAGTAGGTGTCTGTAAAATGAGGACAGATGCCACTCGGGCCAGACCCGGACTCCTGTATCCCCTGCACCGATTCCAGAGCACGGCTTCCTGCATGGTCCTGCCACAGGGAACCACCTGCTGCTTTACTCGAACATGCAGGCTAAGGAAAAACACACACCGAACCTGGGGACACTTCCTCCACCTGCACTTGACACACGCAGATGCTCTGGGTGCCCACCCAGCTCCCCTGAACCCGTCAGCCTCCCCTGGGATAGGGGCTGACCCTCTTCTCCGGCTGCCCTCAGTAGATGGGTGCGGACTTGCCCATGAGGTTATACCCTGCAGCCCCCTGCCCCAAGGGGACAACTGTGTGGTGTGCATCACCCTTCAGAGCTCCTTGTGGACCAGGCGAAAGCTCAGCTTTACTTATAACCACCTGTCACTCAGCCCCTCCCTGCCTTGTCCCACATCCCTCAGGCCCGTCTCCTGAAGCACCTCCCTGGCCCAAGCGCTGCTCCAGCCACATGACCAAAAACATAGCACTGAGTGCTTCGTGGTCCTGTGCACTTTCCCACGGGACACTCCCAGCCTCCCTCCAAGTCCAGCAGGGCCCAGGTGTCTATCCCTGTCTCAGAGACGCCATTAGCACCCCGCCGGGTCACCAGCAGGACCCAGCTCCCCTACTTCTCCTTGCCTTCTTCACTCATCTTCTCAGTCCGTTAATTCTTCTTCTGTATGTTGTGACTTCTCGTCCAATGAAACTAAAGCTGCCAATTTTCAACCAATTAATGTTTGTCACACACCTACCGGCTCTGTGGCAATGTTCCTGTCACCGAATAAGAGGGCAGATCAAGAGAGACATAGCCACAAAGTTTTGTTTATTTATAGGCAAAGAGGTCAAAGGACATATCAGCAAACATTTCTGTCAGCCTTTTGCCTACATTCGGACTTCAGTGAGTTATAAATATACCTGAGAACCACAGGACCAGTGGGGTGGGTGATAATTCCCGTTCTGACTACATCCTTGTGTGCCTGGAGGGCTGGCTTCACCGAGGGTTAGCTCAGTTACCAGATTCTATGGAACGGCTGGCATACAGTTAAGTTTCCTAATATCTGAAACTCTTCCTTTCAAATATTTCAATAAATTATGATCTACAATTTCAATAAATTGAAATTCATTTCAATAAATTGAAATTCATTTCAATAAATTATGAGCTATGATTTCAATTCTCAAGTGAATACCTTCTGACAGTTTTACTCACCTTGTTTGAGACTTGGATATAATTCAGCCTGATGCTAACTTCATAGCCATCCTCATGGACAGTGGCAGAGATAAGCTTTTAAAAAAGTGTTAGAGAGAATTCACAACCGTGGGTGTAGGACTCAGTGCTCTGAGCCACAGCCAAGAAATTTAATCAAATATTTAATTAACACAAAAGCTGGCAGGAAAAAAGAAACAAAAACTAGATGAAATAGAACACAGATAGCAAAATGGCAGACACAAATCCAGCCACATCTACAATTCCATGAACTATAAATGAACTAAATTAATACGCCAAGCAAAGCGCAGAGATTGCCAGATAAAAAAGCAGGATCCAAATTTATACTCTCTACGGGAGACACACTTTAAGATTAATCAAGCCACATGGCAGGATGTCATCACCTGGAAAAAGGTGGGGGTCGGGGGAAGCCTTGGCAACAAGGGCCAAGTATTCAGGTGAGCAGCTGTCTCTGTAAGTAGCATAAGGAATTTAAATCAATGAGGGTCAGTAAGTGCTTTAAGGATCAGATAGCAAATATTTCAGGTTCCACGGGCCGAAGGGTCCTTGCCATTGTAGCACGAAAACAGGTGCAGACAGTAAGTAAATGGATGCGTGCAGCTGGGGTCCAATAAAACCTGATTTCCAAGACTGGGTGGCAGGCCAGACTCGCCCCCCAGGTTACGGTTTGTAGATCCCTCGATTAGGCCAAAGAAATATTAAACCACCAAAACAGACAATCAAAGGAAGCTGAGCAGTTCCTGACAATGGCAGTTTCAGCGCTGGCCTGCGTGGTGGCAGAGGAGTGGATGGGCTGCCTTCCAAAGGTTCTTTCTGGCCTCATGACAGAGGAAAAGGTCTCCTCACAGATGTGTCTCTTATAAGAGCAGTGTCCTCAGGGTCTGACAGATGGGCTTCAAATCCCTAATCCCCCAGGACCCAGGGTGCAGTCCCGGGCAGGCCACCAGATCTCTCTGAGCCAGTTTTCCTGGGTGTCAAACAGGGCTCGTTCTGATTGTCTGCTGTGGTGTAAAAGCCTCCCAGCTCAGTGGCATCCAGTAACCACCACTGTGTATGTTCACGTGTTCCGACCGGCACAGCAGGGTCAGCGGACGTCTGAGGCCTCCACTGGAAGGACTCAGATGGCTGGAGGAGGCTGCCTGTTTGGGGGCTGGGGTGACCTAGAGTTTCATCACTCATCTGCCTGGCTCCGGAGCCCAGAGGACTCGAGGACTGGGTTCAGCTGGGGCTCGGACAAGTGCCCCTTTGTGTGGCCACTGCATGTAGCCTGGGCTCCAAGGAATGCTGGAGGTAAGCATGCTATGCAAGAGGAAGCCACGTGGCCTGCACGGCCACATCTCGCGGGTCCCACAGCATCACTTCCGCCAGAGTCTGTTAGTCCAACAGTCAAAGGCCCACCCGGGCTTAAGCTGAGGGGACACAGACTCTGCCCTTTGAGGGGAAGGCTCCTGGAGCATTTGTGGGTGTGTTTGTAGAACTCCCACAGAGGTGACACTTCTGTCTTGCAGGTTTGTTAGAAATACTAGAGATGATGGACACGACGCAGATCCTGAGGGCACGGTGAACTGGTAACTCTGATGACTGCTAGTGCTGTTAATACAGGGGAGGATTTAGGCACAGTGTGGCTGAACTAAACTGTTCTCCTAGCTCTGACCATCAGTCCCACAGCATGTGCCACCTAACAGCACGAGATGTTCAGTGTGCCGTCTTAGGTCAGGTGCCCAGGAGCAGCCCCTGAGACAAGACGCACACGCAAGTGATTAATTCAGGCCACGCCCGCGGGGAGGACAGTGAGGAAGCGTGGAAAGCAGGGCTGGAAAAAGAAAGGAGGCCAGCGGTGGGGAGGGTACAGCCCAGGGGCAGAGCACGTGCTTAGCATGCACGAGGTCCCGGGTTCAGTCCCCAGTCCCCCCGTTAATAAATAAATAAATAAATAAACCTAATGACCCCCCCCCCCAAATTAAATGAAAAAGAAAGGTGGCAAGCAAAGTGCAGTTTCAGGAAAGTCCATGAAGGAAGCTCAGCCTGATCCCACGGGACATCCTGGAGCAGAAGCTCTGCTCAGAGTCCACCCACCTTTCCCATCCTGGGTTCTGCAATCAAGGCCCGGAATTCAGGGTTGTTCTGAGCGTAGGACCGGAGGTGAGCGGCGATGTGGTCCACTTGTTTGCGCCAGTAGCCTGAAGGAGGAGAGAAACCGCGGGCATGGATCAATCCCTCTGAGGCTGAGGGCGCTCGCAGAGAGCTAGCTTTTCTTTGTTAAACTTCGTGACAGTTTGTCCTTAACTGAACCTCGACCATGTACTGGAATAAGCTCCATTTTTGTTCCCAGCTTTTTCTTCTGCACATGATTAATCACAGAATGTTACAGAATTCCAAAGGAACATATTTGGTCTTTTTCTTTTTATTCTTTAAAAATTAACCATACTGAGAAAGAACTTAATAAAAATATTTTATTTTTTATAATATTTTAATTGTACAGTTTGGGATTTGGCAAGCGTATACATTCTAATCAATACGCAGAATGTTTCCATCACTCCAAAAGATTCCCTGTGCCCTCTTTCCATCTGCACAGGGTTTAAAATAATTTGAATTCGCTGCCACCATATAAGACTCGAGGGATTTCACACGAGTCTGGCTCCTCACGTGCCGGGGCGGGGGAGACACAGCATGCTGGGCCCGCCCTTTTGCACAGGCTCGGCTGCCCGCTTCACGCAGCACACGGGCCCTCCGGCCGGTCACCACCCCTGCAGGCCCAGCTGCCCGCCTTGACCTTCTGGCTCGGCCCCATGGTCACTTGAGTCTGCACACCTGCATTGGGTCCCACCTCATCATTTCACCAATGGAGACACTAAAGCTGAGAGCAGTCAGGTGGCTCTTGCAAGGTCACCCAGCATGGCTTAGTGGAAAGAGCACATGATTTGGAGTTCAGACAAGCCTGCACTGAAACCCTAAACTCATCATTTACTGACTTGGTGAACTTCAGCAGATATTTAAATCTTCCTAAGACTTACTTTCCTTCCCTATAAAATGGGACTGATGCCTCTCACTTCATACGTTACTGTGACACCAAGTAAGAGAACCTCACTGTCTTAGTTTGCGTTCTGCTGACAGCACACCCTGAGACTTAGGACGGTGCTTTCTTGTGAAGGTGACCCTGGGAAGCACAAGTGACGGAGTGGAAACAGCAGGACAGGGAAGGGAGGGAAGCCAGTTAAGAACGTCTTAAAAGCTGGGGCAACACGCGGCAGCAGGGGCAGCCTGCTGGGGACCTCTGAGGAACCGGGCAGAACATGCCTCAGGCTTGTCCACTGGACACAGGACTGGTACCACACTCACGCCTGGAAGAGCTCAGACTTGGATGGGGTCTGACTCCCAGCTGGGAAGTCCAGTGGGGAAGGGAAGAGCTGAGACGGACCAACTTCCAGCACAGCACCTGGGGCGCTCAGTGGATCCGATCCCCAGGGAGAGAATAAAATAAACAAACATTTAAAGTGTCTGGAAATGGTTCTAAGGACATACAGCAAATAAAAGAACATATAATGAAGAAATTGTGCTAAAACTCAGAACAGCGAGACTGTGGTATTTGAACCATGGCCCACTCCCTCCCTCTTCCCGCTCAGCGGAAATGATGAGAACGTCATTCCACTAGTGCAGCCTCAAACACAGGGCTCCCTCTCCTCCCGCTCCCAGCTGGAGAGCTACGGGATCTTCCCAGGAGGAACAGGATCTCAGTGTTTCTCATCCTGCCCGCAATCACCTACTGCAGAGACCAAGTTCTGGGCACGTGCAGTCAAGAGCAGGGGCTCCCTTTTTCTGCCAGGCCACCACTCGGGGTGGAGCTCTGCACTGGCTCTAGTACACTGAGAATACGAGTCCAGATCACCCCTGTCCTGGCTTATTTGGGAAGCGGAGGTCCCACACTAGAAGACGCAGCTCAAGAAGACCAGGGGTAACACCTGCACCTCCTCCCCTGAATGATCAGCTCAGAAGCAGAGGTCTTACTCTCAGAAGAACACACCATTGTCCCCACCCCGATCCAGAGCACTGGCTCAGAAGTTTTGCATAAAGGAAAGTAAGACAGAGTGCTCTCAATCTCCATAGGAACTTAACTCCATTTGCAAGAGTGTGGGGAAGTTCAAGCCTAAGGATAAACAATGAATGATGTGGTAAAAAAAATCAATTAAAAGAAGAATAGACATGTGAGTTAAACCACAGGCTGAGCAGTTTACCAGAGAACCACGCAAACAGACAGCTAAGAAGAGCTCTCCTGAAGTCTGAAGAAGATCGCAAACACTGACCTCAAAACTATCCCTGTAAAGAGTCTCAGATTTGACTGGATCAGTCTGTAGGACAACTTATGCCCCCAGCGCATGGATGAAATAATAAAGCAATCAGCCAGCACTAAGCGGAACTGAACGGCTGGGTACGGTCAGGGAATGAGACGGTCAAAGGGAGCCTCGCCAAAACCACTGTCAGCCTGGGACAACGGGGTGCATGACCAAGGCTTCCTCCTCCAAGGAGCGACATCAGAGGCTTCCCACTGTGGGGCGAAACAGGGTTCATGAGAACCATCCAGCTGATCCCTAAACAGGCAGCCCAGCAAAGAACAGAAACAAGCCTGGAGGGAGGGCAGTATCCAGAGTTGCTACAATATATTTTTTTAGATGTCCGGTTTCCAACAAAAAATTAAGAGACATGCAAAAAATCCCCAAAAACTCTGATATATCCACAGGGGATAAAAGCAGGTAACAGAAGCTGTGAGAGTATGTTAGAGATATAACAACTTCAAAGCAAAGCAGTTTTAGCACAATTTCTTCATCACATGTTCATTGTAAGTTGTAAACATATCCAGAGAATTAAATAAAACTCCGCATGAAGAAAGCGGTACCTTGTGAAATACACAATATCGATAAACACACAGAAATTATACGTAACGGGAACCAAACAGAATTGTGTAGCATAAAAGGACAATAATTGAAATTAAAAATTCACTAGAGAGGCTCAAAAGTAAATTTGAACTGGCAGAGGAAAGAATTAGCAAATTCAAAACAGGTCAACAGATACTATGCAATGCAAAGAAGAGAGAAAAAAAAGAAGAAAAATGAACTGAACCTAAGAATCCCGCAGGAAACTATCAGGCAAAGCAATATATGCATAAAGAGAATCCCAGGAGCAGGGACAGAGCGAAAGGCAGAAGGAATATTTGAACAAACAATGGCCCCAAACTTCCCAAATTTGGTGAAAGGCATGAACTTATACATCCAGGAAGCTCAACAAACAAAAGACCCACACCAAGACACAATTTCAAAAGACAAAAACAAAGAGAGAATCTTGAGAACAGCAAGAGAAGTGACTCATCACGCACAAGGGATCCACAACAGATTAACAGTGGATTTCTCACCAGAAATCATGAGGCCAGAAGACAGTGGGACAACATATCCAAAGAGGGTGTGGGGGAGCCCTGTGCAACAAGAATCCTATTCCCAGAAGAGCTATCTTTCAGCAAAATGAAGACATTACCAGATTTTAAAAAACTGAGAGAAGTCATGGCTAGCAGATCCACCTTATAAGAAACACTGAAGATAGTTCTACAGGCTCAGAGCAAATGACCCCAGACGGTCATGTCAATCCAGACACACAAAAAACCAAGGAGCACTGATAAAGTAGCTACGTAATTATAAACGGTATTGTAAATGCGTCTATTTCTTTTCCTTCCTTAACAAATATAAAAAGAAATTGCATAAAATAATACATAATTGTAGTACTTGGCCTATAACATACAGAAATGTAATATATTGGCCAATAACAGCACAAAGGCGGTGAATGGGAGCAGAGATTTATTGGGCGAAGGAAATGACTCCAGATGGCAACTCAAATCCACAGGAGTAAATGAAAAGAACTAGAAATGGGAAGAAAGAAGGCTAATATTTTTTAAAAAGCCATAAATATATAATACAGTTGACCCCTGAACAACATAGGCGTTAGGGGAAATGAGCCTCCACGCAGCTGAATACCCATGTATAACTTTACAGTTGGCCTCCATCCATGGTTCTGCATCTGTGGATGCCACCCACCATGCACTGTGTAGTACTGTAGTACATACTCGGTGAAAAAAAATATGTGTATTAATGGACCCACATAGTTCAAACCCATGTTGTTCAAAGGTCAACTGCAATTCTTTCTTTTTTAAAAGAAATGAGGTTATATAAACTAATACATTTAAGAGTGTTTTGTTGGGTTTGAAACATACACAGACATAATACATATTGGTAGCCGCTATTCTTATATATACTGATAAAACCAGGAAGAAAGAATAGAGCTGTATAAGGGTAGCTTCTCCATATCTCATCGGAATTAAGTTACTATAAATCTGAAACGTATTCTGCTAAGATGTATAAGGTAAGCCCTAGAGCAACCACTAAGGCAATAACTCAAAATATGTACGGGAAAAAAATCACTGAACATTAAAATGTTACATTAGAAAATATGCAACACAGAAGAAAGCAGTACAGGAGGACCAGAGGAACAGAAAGACACAAACATCTAGGAAAGAACAAGCAAAATGGAAGGCATAAATCCAACTTCATCAATAATAACACATTAAGTGTGAATGAATTAAATAACCCAGTCAAAAAAACAGAGACTGTCAGACCAGAGAAAAAACAAGACCCAATTATATACTATGTACAGAAGACACACTCTAGATTCAAAGGTACAGACTAAAGTAAAAACGATGGACATACATGTATCATGCAAGCAGCAGCCATAAGAAAGCTGGAATGGCTATACTCATGCCAGACAAAATAGATTTTAAGACCAAATAAAATGTTGCTAGATAAAAAGAGGGACATTTTATAATGATAAAAGCGTATCAGGAAGGTATAACAATTGTAAGTATGCACCTAACAACAGATCATCAAAACACATGAAGCAAAAACGGATGGAAATGATGGGAGAAGCAGACAGTTCGGCAATAATGGTTGGACACCCTAATACTCCATTTTCAGTATGGGTAGAACAACCAGGCAGAAGGTCAACAAGGAGGAGAACACATGAACAGCATTCCAAACCAGCTGGACCTACGGGACATCTACAGAACATTTTACCCCCAAACAGCAGAACACGGATTCTTCTCAAGGGCACATGGAATATTCTCCAAGACAGACCATGTGTTAGGCCGTGTCAAGTCTCAATGAAAAGGGTTTTAAAAGGATTAAAATCGTACAAAGCGTGTCTCTGATCCCAATAGAAGGAAATTAGAAATTAGTAACAGACAGAACTTGGGGGAACTCACAAATATTTGGAAATTAAATAACTCTTAAACAACCAATGGGTCAAAGAAGAAACCACAAGGGAAACTGCTGAAAGAAAATGAAGCTACAACACACTAAAATGTACGGGATGCAGTGAGACCAGTGCTCACAGGGAAATTTATAGTTGTGAATGCCTACGTTAAAAAAGACGAAAGATCTCAAATCAAGATCTGAACCTTTGATCTTAAGAAACTAGAAAAAGAGCAAGCTCAACCTAGAGCAAGAGGAAAGAAGGAAATAATGACGATTAGAGTGGAAATTAATGAAAGACAGAACAGAAAAACAGTAGGAAAAATGAAAATCCAAAGTTGGTTCTTTAAAAATTAACAAACCTTTATCTAGACTCACAAGAAGAAATGACTCAAATTGCTAGAATCAGAAATTAGACAGGGAATATTACCACCCACCTTACTGAAATAAAAAGGATTATTAAGGAATCCTGTGAATAATTATACACTAATAAATTAAATAACTCAGACAAAATGATGCTCAGCATCATTAGTCATCAAGAAAATGCTAATCAAACCCATAATGAGATCCCATGCTACACTCACTAGGATGGTTATAATGAGAAAGTCAGATCGGATGGTTATAATGGAAAAGTGTTAACAAGGATATGGAGAAATCTGTACCCTTGTGCACAGCTGATCAGAATGTAAAACAGTGCAGCCACTTTGGAAAGCAGTCTGGAAGTTCCTCAAAAAGTTACACACAATGTTACCATTTGACTCAGCAACAGCATTCCTATGTACACACCCAAGAGAAATAAAAACATTATACCACAGAAAAATTTCTACATGAATGTTGAGAGCGGCATTATTCCTAACAGTCAAAAAGTGGACACAACTCAAACATCCATTACTGATGAACAGATAAGCAGATGTCCTATATCCATACAACAGAATATCACTCAGTATAAAAAAAAAATGAAGTACTGAAAACATGCTACATGAACAAAGCTTGAAAGCATTACACTAAGTGCAAGAAGCCAGGCGCACAAGACCACATGTTATGTGCTCCCACTTGTACGCCCAGAATAAGCAAGTCCGCGAAGACAGAAGGCAGGTGAGTGGTTACTAAGCACTTGGGAGGGAGATGCAAAGAGTGGTACTTAAAGCATATGGAGTTTACTTTGGGGTGATGAAAGTGTTCTGGAAATAGAGAGTGGTGATGATTGTATAGGATCGCTCGTGTACCAGATGCCACTGGATTGCACACTTTAAAAGGGTTAAGATGGTGAACTTTATGTTATGTGAATCTGACAACAATGAAAAAAGAGATAACGGCAGACTGTGTAACAACCCAGACTCACAGCGTTTCTACATTCACAGCAGGAATCCTTACGCGCTATTTGATTTACAAACTAGATCTGAGGCTATGAGTCAAAACACGCTAAAAGCTTAAGGAAGTGCTATTATCCATACTAGCAAAAACTACGGAGGAAAAAGAAAATTAAAGGCATCTATTTCTTGTCCATAAAAGTGAAATCAAAAGGAGAGGAAAAAAAATGAAATTTTCTTTCAGAGAGAGAGTGGGTCCGCTCCTGAGAAGAGGGGGTGTCTCACCTCGTCCTGGGCTGACGGCCGTGAGGAGAGGTTTGTGGTCACTCATTTTCTCCTGCCTCTGCTTTTGGGAAGTCATTTCCAGCTCCTTCTTGGCTAGAAGCGTCCCAGATGGGTAGAACAGGCCGGTGGTCTGTGTGCCTGTATCCTTCTTGGTCCCAGCATCCAGTTTGGGCGAAGGAACATTTAGGGGCTGCCAGGCAGATCGAGGCTATGAGCAAGGCAGAAAACATAAAATAATAATAAAATAACATAATATAATTAGTTCTCCATTTTACTCACTGAAAACAGCTCTAATCAGAAGTAAAAGGATCTCCAAAAAGCTATACTTTCAACTAAAGAGGGGTTTTCAGCCCTGGCTTCATCCTCCTGGCTAGTTTTTCCCGGCCACTCCCAGCCTGATCCATGAAGCCAGCCCCACCTCCTCGTCCACGGACTATCTCAGATTCACAAACCCACAAACCGACTGCTGGTCCCTGTCCTACCGCCTGAGGCTAGGAAGAAATCTACGCTCTCAGCTCTACAGTCCAGCGGAACATAGACTTTACTCTCCATCCACACTCAACCACTGGGCACCAACATTTTCTGAGACACTCTCCTGCACCTGGGCCCGGGGACCTGAGAGGACCTCCATGGGAGGTGGTGTATGTTGTGCACAGCACAACAGCACTGCATCTAAAGGCATAACATCGTATATGGCGGACATCGTATATTTGTGCATTTATTACAATACTTCTGGTAGATGGATGAAAATGTCTAACAAAATTAGTATATTACAATCAATTTCCAACAGATGGCGGGAAAAACACCTTGTCTCATTTGCACGAAGGGGCCACCTGGGCTATTGGCAGTCAGCCCCAAGATCTGTTAAGCCTTTCCATCTGGGTTAAGGTGTCAACTCCCTAAAAATGAATGTAAAGTTGCTGCATGCACGTGCATTCTCTCTAACAATTATCAATCTTTAGATTCTTCTAATGAAGGAATAAGAAGAAACCTGAAAATGCCTTTCTGTAGCTTAGAGAAATTCATAAAAGGCTAACATGAAGCTGGTTAGAGATTAAGTCCTTCTAAAAATAATCTTGGGAGTCCTACTGTACAGCACAGGGAACCAAATTCAATGGCTTGTAGTAACTTACAATGAAAAAGAATATATATATATATTTATACGTACAACTGAAACACTATGCTGTATACCAGAAACTACTACGATATTGAAAATCAACTATACTTTAATTTTTTAAAAATGGGAAAGAAGAAAAATTTAAAAATAATTAAAATAACCTTGGGACATTCTTCTCAACTATCCCCAGTTGCTAAGAATGGTCATATACCCGATGTAAGTTTCCTAAAATGGAAAGGAGAAGGGGGACGTTCTCAGTGAGCGACAGAAGAAATTGAAGGGATGAGAAGTACACCTGTCCCGCGTATTTTAAATCTTCCTAACGACGTTACACCTGCTTCCTTGCAAATGCAGTTAGTCCTCGATTACTGTAGATAATGCATATTTACATCTTTGAATCCTGGGGAAATCACTCGAGTGTTTAAAACCCAAATGGGTTGAAGTTATTTAACCCCAAGCCGGAAGTCCCTGTGGAAGGTCTCCATGTGGTGGCTTTCTCCCCCTGGGTTGGTTCACAGGGCAGAGGACACGAATCCAGAGTCACAGCCGCTTCCTGGGCACCCGTTCTCACCACCGCGGAGGCCTCACCTCGGCGAAGGCGCCGGGTTCTCTGGCAGCTGGAGTTGCGCTGCTCTCCATGCTGAGTCTGGCCAAGGACTTCACATAAATCCCGCAGGAGCCACAGAATCGGGCAGACGGGTGGTTGCTGGCCCCACAGTTAGAGCAGACAGAGTAGCCAGCGGGAGCGCCAGGCTGGAGGACAGAAAACATTTTTATGTTTCCATGAATATTAGAGACACAACTTTCCCGTGCAAGTGATTCCCATATCATACAGTCTGCGGCCATCAAAAGAACACACGCCTTTACCCTCTGACCCTGCAATTCTGCCTTCTGGAATTTATCCGACAGATGGACAAATACACAAAGAAGTATATTCAAGACCACGCCCTGCAGGATTGTGGTTTTACAAAAAATAACTGGAAACAGCCTAAAGGCCCAGCACTAGCGGATGGCCTAGACACACCGCGGTACGCACAGACAGTGGGGTATCGTGAGGCCACTGAAAAGAATGAGGAGGTTACTAACAAGGTGCATTGCCAGGTGAAAAGAACTGGGTCAGTGTCCATACTAAACTACCAGTTTACCTATTAATGCATCGAATGGCCGAAAGAAGACCTCAGCAAGTGGTACCAGGGATGACTTCTGGGGGAAGGGGCTGTGGGACTAGGACGGGCAGGGAGACTAACCCTTCACACAAAACCTTCTGCTTATTTACATGTGACACTTATTCAGATAAATAACTCTGAGTGTCTTATTAAAAAGGTAAGCAGGTAATTCGTAAAAGAAGAAATACCAAATAGTCATTAAATAAGTAAAAAGGTATAACCTCATAGAAATGCAAATTAACACAATGAGAGACCTCGATTTTTTTTTAATTGAAGTATAGTTGATTTACAATAATTCAGGTATACAGCAAAGTGATTCAGTTACCTATATATGTGTATATATGTATATGTATATAGAGACATATATTCTTTTTTAGATTCTTTTCCATTATAGGTTATCACAAGATATTGTATTGAATATCGTTGCCTGTGCTCTACAGAAGAAACTTGTTGTTTACCTATTTTATATATAGTAGTTAGAATCTACAAATCCAGAACTCCCAATTTATCCCTTCCCACCCGCTTCTTCTGTATACTTTAAATCATCTCTAGATCACTTATAGTAGCCAGTGCACTGTAAATGCTATGTAAATAGTTGGCCATGGGCAGCAAATTCAAGTTTTACCTTTTGGAATTTCCTGGAACTATTATTTCCAGAATATTTTCAGTCCACAGTTGGTTGAATCCACTGATGTGGAACCTGCAGATACAGACTGTACAGCAAGCAAGGCAGCTTTTCTTTTTTAATTGAAGTAGAGTTGATTTATAATGTTGTGCTAGTTTCTGGTGTACAGCATAGTGATTCAGTTACATATATATTCTTTTTCGTATTTCTTTTCCATTACAGGTTACTACAAGCTATTGAATGTAGTTCCCTGTGCTGTACGGTAGGTTCTTGTTTATTTTATATATAGTAGTGTGTATCTGTTCATCCTAAATTCCCAACTTATTCCTACCTCCCTTTCCCCCAAAGTAATCATCAGTTTGTTTTCTACATCTGTGAGTCTGTTTCTGTTTTGTAAATAAGTTTGTTTGTGTCGTATTTTAGATTCCACATATGAGTGATATCATATGGTGTTTGTCTTTTTCTGTCTGGCTTACTTCATTTAGTATGACAATCTCTAGGTCCATCCATGTTGTTGCAAATGGCATTGTTGCATTCCTTTTTTATGGCTGAGTAGTATTTCGTGTGTGTGTGTGTGTGTGTGTGTGTGTATACACTATATTACATATATATATGTATATATATATAACGTGTTCTTTATCCATTCATCTGTTGATGGATATTTGACCTTCTCAATTTAAAAGAACTAATTTATCTCTCTCTCCAGATTCTTACATAAATAGGTGCTAGTACCCAGTCCCAAGAAGTGATTTCTGCAAGGCTGTGGCAGAGGAGGAGCCTGGCTCTGGGGTGGCCAGGAGGCACAAAGAAGCTGTTTTAAAAACACCGACTGTGGCTCACACCAATCGCAGAAGCAAGCTTCCCGGCGACTCCGGCAACCACGTTTCGAGCAGGAAATGGTCTCCGTCCGAGTGGGCAGGGGAGGAGCTCCCCTGCTCAGCAGGTGGACTGGTGAACACACCGCATGTGCAGGCAGGTCAGCCCCACGTTCTCCATCCCCCTCCCAATTGGGAAAGAAGAAAGCCCCCAAGCAGTGCAAGGACAAAAGGTATTTTTGCCCCAAAGAGTAAAACTATGATGAGCTTCACCAGTTAAGAAATTAGTACAAGTTAGTACATGCGCTCCACGGGAAGTCAGTGAAACTGGTGCCTCACACAGCTGGATGCCCCAGGACCTTTAACACCAAAGGCAGCATGCCCACTGCTGTTCACTGCAACAGGATTAGCAGAGAAAGTGAGGTTCAGCCTCTCTCCTTTGGAGTCTGGTTTCGATCTAGAAATGTGAATTTACTTTCCACTCCTGACCCATGAGAAGAATTATGTTATTTGGGGGGAGGGAGATGGGGCTGTTTTGTGAGGGTTTCCGAGACTTTGTCAGGTAGCCCTGGATTAGAATCTTTGTTCCTTGCTACTAACTCGCTGTTGCCTAGGAAGAGGTTTTCCCATCAAACCCGCGGGGATGACAGTCCTGATCACCCACTCGGTGCAGGCGCTGTTTTGAGCACCGCCCCGGGACCCCCCACATCCTGTGTTACAGAGGAGGGAACCTGAAGCACCGAGAAGGGGAGACCCCAGGTTGAACCCAGACCATCCGGCTCGGAAGCCTGGCTTTTACCCACGACTCCATGCAGCCTCTTCACTACAACAGCTTCCTCACGGCGGGGATGTCTGCGGGGGGACTTCGGACAGTTAACTGCAGTGAGGCACGTAGGGGTGCTCAGCACAGGGAGGGCTCCTGCCCTCCTCACCGTACTTGCCACCAGATCCTCATCTCTTTAAGGGAAAGGACTAGCATTTCACACTTCCCCCCACTAGCTCAGCCCCTTGGCACCATGGGGGTCATTCAAGTAGTTACCTGTCAATCAACTAATCAGTGAGTAATTGATTCAGTTGATAACTGAGTATGTGAATATCTCAGTATTTTTCTCTCTCTTTCAACAAGAAGACTATCCTACAATTACATCAAATTTGCTTTGGGAAGAGATGCGTTTTCTTACTAAATGTGTCAGCTCCTTAGTCTCAGAAACATATGTTATGTAACAGAAATAACCCTTTTTAAAAACATACAGATTTTCCTCCTGGTGATAATGGAGTAAGGCCATACCAAACGGCTCATCCAGAGAAACACCTATAACATCTTCTCATGGTATGTGAAGGCACTGGAGAATGAACAGAAGCAGACGGACTCTTGTAGCAAGTCCACGCACGGAGGAGGGCGGTTATACAAAGTCAGTGCGCATCTTCATGGCTTTTCGCCCGGGGCTAAGGGCGGTCCATGCAGTGCCAGTGAAGTGGTGCGTAAAGGGCAGTATTTCTGGCTAGGACAATCAGAAAACTGCAGCTAGGGGATGTTTGGTTACTGAGGAGATGGGGCATGCCCAGAAAGACAGTGAAAGAGAGGGGGATCCCCAAATTCTGTGTATTCACATCTCTTATGGACCCCTGAATGACACACGCACGGAACACTCGAAGCAGCTCAGCCAAAGGCAAAGTATCTCAGCAGAGACCAGGCTTTCCGCTCCCCTCCCCTCTAAACCATGCGGTTCTCTTGGCTTTTAGTTTTAGGATGTTGAGGAATTTTCGACTGAATCCTGGCATCACACACGTTAGACTGTGGTGCTCCTGGATTCTGTGACCGTTCTCTGATGAGTGCTGGGGTTTTGCTGTTGTTTGTTTTGCTTTACGTTACTTTAGCAGGTCACAGTAAACATGCCTGGTTTGGAGGACGCACTACCTGGAATGAACTAGGACGAACGCCTCTCAAAAGACAAGAAGGTCAACTGAACCCAACTCCAGGAGGAATCTGCGGCCGGAACTAGCAACCAGAATGTTACAGCATCCATTCTTCCCAGAATGAACAAAAAGATGGGCAATCTCAGCAGCAATTCGAGAGATGTGAACATGGAATCCAAGAAGAATAGCGCAAGGTGAGTAGAGCCCCCCAAAATCATTAAATCATGGCTAAACAATTCCCAAATTTGATTAAAGACAGAAGTTTACAGTTAAAAGATGCTCAGTGAACAATGAAAGTAATCACAGAGAGAGGCTCACACAGAGGCACAGTATAGCCGAATCTTTGAAAACCAAAGACTCTTTTAAAAATCTTAAAAGCAACAGAGAAAGATGACACATCACATGCATGGTGACGTCAGTCTGATTACCATCCAGCTTCTGATCAGAAACCACGGAGAGCAGAACATCCGTAAAGTTCTGAAGGAAAAGTAACTGTCAACCCAGAGCTGCGCACCCATCAAAACTGCCCTTGGAGAACGAAGGCAAAACAAAGCCTTATTCAGACAAAAGAAAAGTAAGAGAATTCACTGCCAGTAGACCTGCACTACAAGAAACCATAAAGAGAGTTATGTCTGGAGGGAAATGATAGTAGAGAAAAACTCGGGTCCTCAGAAAAGGATAATGAAATGGTAAATATCTGTGTAAATTCAAAAAAAAGTTTTGAGCTTTTTGCTTTTTTCTCTTAATTTCTTTTAAACTATATAATTGTTTAAAACAGAAACCACAACATTCTTGAAGGGTTTATGATGTACGTAACCGGCCATGAAGGACGGGGGAGAAGGACGAGCCTGTACAGTTGTAAGGTTTCTGTGTTCCACCTGATGTGGTGTGATAACAACGAATTAGACTGAAATTTTAAAGATATATATTTTAATCACAAGGGCAAATATTAAAGAATAATGCCAAGAAATACAGCTAAAAAGCTAATAGGACAGTTAAAATAGAATTCTAAAAAGTATTCAAAGAACCCCAAAGCTGGGGGAGGGTATAGCTCACTGGGAGAGCGCGTGCTTAGTGTGTATGAGGTCCTGGGTTCAATCCCCAGTCCCTCCATTAAACAAAACAAACAAATAAACAAACAAAACTACCTTCCCCCACCAGCCGTCCTCCCCACTCTGCAGATTATATTTCTTTGTTATCATTAACACGACATTTATCAGCCACTAAAATACAGAACTGGCACATGCAGCCAACCTACCTCTTGTGCTGACGGCAGGGCCCCCTCACAGGTGACACAGTATCTCAGGTGAGCGGGATTCCCTGTGCCACAGGTGCGGCAGATCACTTTCTCCTTGAAAACAGAGAATAAATGAACACAGATGCAAAAATCCTCAACAAAATATTAGCAAACCAAATCCAATAAAACATCAAAAGAATCATACAGCATGATCAACTAGGATTTACCCCAGTGATGCAAGAATTTTTCAGTATCTGCAAATCAGTCAGTGTGATACACCTCATTAACTAACTGAAGAATAAAAACCGTATGATCATCTCAATAGATGCAGAAAAAGCTTTTAATAAAAGTCAACCTCCACTTACGATAAAAACTGTCCAGAAAGTGGGTATAGAGGGCACATAATAACATAACAAAGGCCATACACGATGAACCCACAGCTAACATCATACTCAACGGGGAAAAGCTGAAAGCACTCCCTCTAGGATCAGGAACAAGACAAGGGTGCCCACTCTCGCCAGTTTTACTCAACGTAGAATTGGAAGTTCTAGCCACAGTAGAGAAGAAAAAGAAATAAAAGGAATTCAAACTGGAAAGGAAGAAGTAAAACAGAGAACAAGAAATACGTGTTTCTCTGAGCAAACTGCTGTGCAAAAAAGCCATTAAGCAGTCTTTCCAGCCAATCAGCCAGCTACAGACCCTATGCCAACACTCAGACCCTGAAACTGGATTGGTTTAGGAATTATTACAACAAACAGCATCAGACAAATGAATAAGTCTTAAAAGAAATAAACCTCAAAATGAAAAAACCTGAAAGAGAGAATTCATTTGGCATCAGGAAGGCAAACTGAGTATTTTGTGCTGAGTACGGCGTGATTCTTCTTTTCAGTGCGGAAAACACGCTCATCAGTACGTTTTCCATCTCCTGGCTTGAACAATACATAGGAAGACCCAAGAGCAGCAAGAGAATATACGTTTACACACAATCTAGTTCTCGGACTGGGGTCTCCCCCGTGGGGCTTTACATTAAACATGAATTTGGGTTTGGTCTGTAGTTTAAAGACCACCTTATTAGTGAGTGGTAAATGCAACCTTCCAAGTCAGGAACTTGGGGCTAAGTTGCAATCCAGAAAAAAACAGAGAAAAAGAAAAGATGGTTAAAATAGCCTAACAGGGTTTGCTAACAGCTGTTCAGTCGCTGGACTATTCCGCCCTCCCAGGGCACGATCTCCTTCGATTGTCAATGACCTGCGACACTCAGATGTTCCCTTCTACTCCAGTACCTGTGTTCCCAGGTGTCCTGAAACTGATGTAGCATGTTCTGCATCTGGCACAGGTAAAGGAGGCCATCAGGAAAAAGAAAGGCCAACTCCTGGCGGTTCTGTCCCAGTGCCACCAGGGAGGCTACTGGAGTCCCTGGTCTTGCCAAGTCTTTCTCAAGTTCCACTTACGTAGACGACTCCAGGGTCCTTCTAGGAACCTGAGCCAACCCAGGAAACCACAGTTCCCAGCCCAGAGAAATCCTAGAGGGCAGAGGCCGACTGACCGCCACCCAAAATGGCAGAGAACCATGGACTTGAACTCAGTGGGTCCTGACCCCCTGGTCCAGCTTTCTTCACACTTGCTTACAGTCTCCACCGCATAACCTGCAATCGTCAGAGCTTTTCTGTGAGATTTAGGGCAGTGATCTTCCTGATGTGGTGAAACCCAGCGACCCACTGAGAAGTGAAACAAATTTCCTGGCCCTGTATTAAATAATGGTGAGATCAAACAAGACAATCTAGCTGTTTGCTGCCGGAGATACTCACCTGGGAAAGAGGAAAGTGCAAACCAAGTGAAACTGCCCCCCTGTTAACCCCAGTGGCCCACCTCAAGACCCTCAGCTTGCAGGACCCACAGTCCAGAACCATCTGTGTGCACATGTGTGTCTGTGTGTATGTGTGTGTGGTGGCAGACTTGACATCTACTCTCTAAGCACATTTCCAGGATACAAAGATGGGTATGTCAATGAGCTTGACTGCAGGAGTCATTTCAGCATGTATATGTCTATCAAAACCTCACCACCTTAAAGATGTAAAATCTGTATTGAAGTAAATAAAAATTTAAAACTAGCATATCATAACTTTGCCCAATCTAAACTAACTCTGCCCAATTTTAATCCTGCCTTGCAAAACGCTCTTAAATTTTTTTAATTAATAAACTTTATTTTTTAGAGCAGTTTTAGGTCCATATCAAAACTGAGCAAAATCTACAGGGAGTCCCCATACATTCCCTTTACACACACACACACACCCCACCCCGCTATCGACGTCCTGCACCAGATGGTACATTCATTACAACCAATGAACCTACACTGACACATCATCACCCAAAGTCCATAATTGACCTCAGGGTTCACTCTTGTCCAATTCTCTTTAAAATCACCCAACTGCAGTACTGAAAGCCTTCCCTGTCTTCTCCCTTCTGTGATACCAGGGGTCAGAGTAGCCGTTTATCTCACTGTATCAGGCCCAGTAGGCACAGCCTCCTTGCTCAACAGGCTTTCCTAGCGCTTCCGGTGGCGGCTTTCTGACACATGCCATCATGGCTCACTTGCTTGAAGAGCAGTGGCCATGACCCACAGAAACGCTACAGTCACAGATTCATATGTGTTCCTAGGGATGATCTGGGACTAAGACCACCATCAGACTGCCTTAATGAGGATGCTAAATATTGAAACAAGTCCTCCCTCGCGTGGGGCAGCCTTCAAGTTCACCCAGTTTCCCCAGGTTCTGCCTTGTCCCTCCAAGGGTGAGCCCTAGGTACTCAGGGCTTTTCTTCTTTCTTCTGTTTTTTGTTTGTTTGTTTGCTTGCTTGCTTGTTTGTTTAAAATGGAAAGTTTATTTGCTTTGTACATCAAATAGAATGCAAGCACTATCATGACAAACAGAAATACGCAGATCAACATAAAACAGTGATTTAGTTTCAATGAAGGGAAATCTTAAAGAGAGAAGCTGATTTCTCTCCCTCACATGTAAGAAGTGTGGAGACAGGGCTCCAGGGCTGCCTGGTGGCTTCCTGCAGTGATTTTGAAAGTTTCTTAGGATTGAAGATAGTCATCCAACAAAAAGATGAGTAAAGTTTCATCCACCCGACTCTGGCCCAGCCAGTTCTTCAAAATCTCACTCTGGAAGGTTTGCACCACCTGGGACACTTAAGGACTTTTCACAGTGAAGGGGTAGCTGGAACGTGCGTGAAAAAGTGGACTTGCCGTTTCCCCCATAAACTTCAATACATTTTGCCCACAGGGAATCCACCAGGCCAGTTTAGGAGTGTTGCAGTTCCAATTGTATGCGAAGTCCACACACTTCCCTTATCACTAAAAACTCTTGCTTTTTTTTACCCCCAAAGTTGTCTTTATTAGATCTATTTCATCCTCTGGTGACCTTTACCTGAGGTCAAGTTAAAAGGAGATAAAGGGGGAGAAGGCTGTCAGGACAGCGCACCGCTCACACGCACCAGCCTGGGAAGATGGGAACCCGCCTCCGAGCCCTGACTTCCCTGCGCCGAGCCGCCCATCCGCGGCTGGCGGTTGGCTTGTGGAGCTTGGGAGTGACGTCTTCCCGCATTTATGCTGAATCGTGGGGTCTGAACTGTGAGGTTTGGAGATGATTTCCTCATCGCACCACCAGCTGGATTTTGGGTCCTGGATAGGTGGTTACCCCCACCCCACCCCCAGCCCATTTATACTTTCCTGTGTGAGCATCTCCTCTCTCCTGCCTCTGTTTGTATTAATTGTATTCAGTAGGTGTTCATTTCTCCCTCTGCATGAAGGGGGACTTTCAAGTAGTGATCTTGGTCCCAGCGACATCGAGTTTACTTGTTTATATTAATTTTTAATCCCTCCTCCTTTTGCTCCACCCCTATGACACACCTTTTAAACTCTCTGACTTAATAAAACGTGACTGTCTTGATCCAGCAATCTCACTCCTGGGCACATATCCAGAGGGAACCTTAATTCAAAAAGATATATGCACCCCAATGTTCACAGCAGCACTATTTACAATAGCCAAGACATGGAAACAACCTAAATGTTCATCAACAGACGACTGGATAAAGAAGTTGTGGTATATTTACATGATGGGATACTACTCAGCCATGAAAAAGAAGAAAATAATGTCATTTGCAGCAATATAGATGGACCTGGAGATTGTCATTCTAAGTGAAATAAGCCAGAAAGAGAAAGAACACCACATATCACTTATATGTGGAATCTAAAAAAAAAAAAAAGACAAACAAACTTATTTGCAAAAAAAAACAGACTCTCAGACATAGAGAACAAACTTGTGGTTACCGGGGAGCAGGGAGAAGGGGTGGGAGGGGATAAGGTGGGAGCCAGAGATTTGCAGATACTAGCTGATATATATATAATAGGTAAACAAGTTCATGCTGTGTAGTGCAGGAAACTATATTCGATATATTGTAGTAACTTATGGTGAAAAAGAATATGAAAACAAATATATGTATGTTCATGTATGACTGAAGCATTGTGCTGTACACCAGAAATTGACACAATATTGGAAACTGACTATACTTTAATAAAAATATATATATACAAAAAAATTGACTGTCTTGGAAAAAAATTAAAAATAAAAGGAGCGAATGGACTGGAAATTGAAAAATGAAGAAAAGATACATTTGTATGTTCAGAAACAAACATACAAAAAAAGTTAACGCATGATGTCATTTGCTTAAGAAGATTTTTTGAATGTTCACGATGATACTTTTTATCCATGTGACTAGCTGCATTCCTTCTTTTCTACGTAATAGAGACCCATAATCAAACAAAGCAAACAAAAGCATGAAGTGAATTTAAGGACAAGATTAAAGGTCAATATTCATTACAATGCTCAAGTTTAAATAGACAAAGTAAGAAATTATCTACGGTAGCTGTGGCCCAATTTATGCTCCAAATCTATGTTCAGGGAACACATTCTATGTATCTCCCTTAACCTTTAGATCTTGTCGGCAAATTAAACTCTTGGACAGTGTGCCTTTCCAAAAATGAGAGTGGATTTTGTCCAACGGTTTTTAGCTTATCAATGGTGAGCTGATTCCAACAGCTGAAGACAGACATTTAACTGTTCAAACGTTAATTTCTATCTATCTTCCTCGTGCTTTTACGGAATCGCGTTTCATTACCTTCAAGCGGAGGCTGGCCTGTGGCTGCAGCTGTGGAGCAAGCGGGGCCTCACACACCACACAGATGGGAGTGTTCATGGGCACCAGGCTTCCACACTCCACACACAGGCCCATCTGCACAGAGAAAGAGGTCAGGTTCGTGTTGGGATGCAAAAACTGAAGGTGTAAGTAGATCTTAAAATGTAAGGTTTAATCTGCTCTTGTAAAAAAATTTTTTTATAATTACCATCTTAAAATTTTTTTTTCCTATTAAGGTAAAAACATGTTTATTGTAGAAAAGATCAGTGTAAAGAGAAAGAAAAGGAAAGGAAAAATAAAGAAAGAATAGCTCACAGCCTGATGGAGTGAGGAAGTCGACAAATCTATAGAGGGGTTGATTATCTCCCCACATGCCCCTGGTTGACTGGGGGATGCTCACCTGTGCAGCAACAACCTGAGTGGGTCCAAGCCACCCACACATCCCCAGCTGCACCTGGAGATGCAAGACAGCTCAACATAAAGTCAGAGCTGGGGCAGACTTGAAAACAGCATGAAGTTTGAATGTTCCAGCCAGCCCATTATAGATCCATCAGCAGAGAGTGGAAACCTTAAAGGACCAAGGTGTTTGGATTTGGGGGTGGTTTTTTTTTTAGATTTCTTTTTAATGGAGTTACTGGGGGTTGAACCCAGGACCTTGTGTATGCCAAGCATGCACTTTACCACTGAGCTTTGCCCACCTCCCTAAGGACCAAGGTGTTTGAGCACAACTTCTGGCACAATCTTTTGGCCAAGTTGAACACCAAGCTATGCACACCCAGGGGTCATCCCAGGCTTAAAAATAAAACAAGGGAAAGGGGGAGGGTATGATAACAGTGATCTGAAAAATAGTGACTCTCAATAAAAAGAAATTATTTTTAAAAAAACAAATCAAAACCTAGAGCTGAAAAGGAAAATAACCAAAGTAAAAAAAAAAAAACTAGCCAGAGGGACTCAATAGAAGATCAGAAATGACAGAAGTGGGGGTGGGGGTATATTTTAGTGGTAGAATGCATGCTTAGCATGCACGAGGTCCTGGGTTCAATCCCCAGTACCTCCATCAAAAAAAAAAGTGACAGAAGAACCAGCGAACTTGAATACAGTTCAACAGAAATTTTCAAATCTGAAGAACAGAGGAAAAAGATTGAAGACAATAAACAGATCATCAAAGACCTTTGGGGCAACATCAAGAATGCCAGCATACGTGTGATGGGAGTCCCAGAAGCGGAGGGGAGAAAAAAGGGCAGAAATAGAATTCGAAAAAACAATGGCCAAAAACTTCTCATATTTGAAGAAAAACATTAATCCACAGACCCAATGAACTCAATCAATCCCAAGAAAGATAAACACAAAGGGAGCCATACCGAGGCACACGGCAGTCAAACTGGTGGGCACCAAAGACAAAGAGAAAATGCTGAAAGCAGCAAGAGAAGAAACTACTTATACCTCAACAACTATGGCAGCCAGAAGGCAGTAGAATGACACAGTCAAACGGCTGAAAGGAAAAATAACTGGCCAACAAAGGATTTCACATCCAGTAAAACTATCTTTCACAAGTGAAGGTAAAAATAAACATTCTCAGATAAACACAGCCGTGCCTGGAGTAAAGGAAGTCCTTCAGGCTGAAAGTCAGTCACGCTGGAAGATAACCTGAGTTCCCAGGAAAGAAGTGG